GGGGCGGGGGTGGGGGGAGGCGCAGGGAGATCTTAAACTTTCCCAGTGCTCAAAATTTTATTATCAAAACTCAAGCAAGTTAAGGGCTGGAGACCTGACTTCTGGCCCTAGATTTGCCACTAGCTCACTTTACTCTGTTACCTTGGGCACGTCAGTTCTGTCTCTGGGTCTCACTTTACCATATCATATAATCAGGGTAATACTCCCTGTTGTGCCTCCTTCCAATAGATTCTTGGATAAATAAGGATAAGATGAGATGGTGTCTAGGGAGGTCAGGACCAGCCTGGTATGGTAGTTTAGAGTTTGGCTCTAGGGCCAGGGTGTTTGGACCCCACACCTTACTAGCTGTTGTGTAGTGTAGGGCTGGTTGCTTCATCTCTCTGTGCCTTAGTTCCCTTACCTGTAGAACAAGAATGATGACAGTACCTACACCACTGAGCCGTGGTGAAGATTCATGGTGTGGTGTTCCTGGAACTCTGAGTGGTGCTGTCATGGAGAATGGTGAGAACACAGTGGAGGCTGGGGCTCCTTCCTGCCCACTGTTCTCAGATCCCAGAGGGAGGGAGGGTGCACCCACAGGAGAGGGGCAGCAGTGGTTACTTCTGTGGGAGTGGCCTGTTCAGTAGGTTAGCCTGGGAAAGGCTGTTCCCACCTAGAGAAGTAGTGGTCCATGTAGGCCCAGGCACAGCAGGTATTCAAGGGAAGAGAAGTCATGGCTGTAAGTGACCTGGGGATCATCTAGTCCAATTAGCTTATACAGATAGGGAAACTGAGGCCCAGAGAGGTAACAATTGGTCAGAGAGTTAAGACAGAGCCTGGACTAGGATTCCACCTTGGAAGGTGATCCGAGGGAGCACTAACAGAGACAGAGGGTTCTGCAGCTGAAGGAGGAGAAGGCCTGGGGAAGACTCTGTGGGAGCGGCCCTCCCCTCCATCACCTCTGTGCAGCCTGGATCTCTCTGGGGCCTGATCAGCCATCCCAGTGAGACTGGGGGCCAATGTGTCCGCTTACCCGACTATGGCCCCATACATATAAATACATACTCTGGGAGAGATTAACAACCCCACTGGTATCTGTCTGCTTTAGAGGGTTTCCTTTTTTTTTTTTTTGATTAAAAGAGAGTGTTTTCCTTATGACATGAACATCCAGATGAGGAGTCCAACCCCAAGGCAGACTGCTCATCCCAGGACAGAGCCCTTGTCACAGATACCTGCAGCCCTTACCTGAGTTATCCAGACGGCAAGGCCCAGACTTGCACTGCTTGTCTATAGAGAAGAAACAGTAAAGAATCAAAGCTCTCAGGATTGAAAGAGGCCCTGTGGGCCATCCATGACTTGCTCTAGGAAAACTGGTATGTTTTCCCCCAGTTCTGCTTCCTTATGGTGTGACCTCCCTTACCGAGGTTTGACTTGATCCGTAAGCTGTGGGGTCAGAAGGAAGCCAGCCCTCAAAGCCAGGGCCCATTCTAGGTACTCCTCTTGCTCCCTTGCCCTGTAACTTCGCCTCCCTGCCATACCCACTCTCCTTCTCCATGCCTGTCCCATCCAAGAAGGAGCTAGTATATGTTATTTTCATGTCTTCCTCACCTGTCAACTCGTGCACGCTCGTGATGCTCTCCAGGGTGAGACCTGAAGCCACACTGGACCTTCTCCTATGTTAGATATGGTCCAGAGTTTCAGCCAACAGCCTGCCTCTGACTATGAAAACCAGGCCTCGCCAGCCCCCGGGCTTCACTCAGCCAGGACCAGCAGCCCACAGCCCCATCGGAGACTGGAAAACTGGGCCCACCCTCATGATTCCTCCTCTGGCCAGGCCTGGGGGAATGGACAGGAAGAGTATCTGAGACCAGCTACAGCCTGAACTAGAACTTAGGGACACAGCATCGAAATGCTGTCTCCCCAGCCCCACGCTCGCCATCCCCCACCCCCACATGCCAGTACAGGATTTCTGGTCAGTAAAATAAACATACTTCTCTCAGAAACTGAAGTTGGGGCTCTTCCCATTTCCGGCAAGAGTGTTCTGGATGTCAGTACTGTGGCTGGAAATTAATTTCCTTCCAGCTTCCAGCCAAGAGAAAAGCCTGACCAGGTCTGTTTGGCCCTCAAATGGCCAAAGCCCCTGCTTTGGTTAGGAAACCCTTGTCAGCCTCCCAGCAGGCAAGTAGCCATCTGTGGCTCAGACACCACCAGGGACAAGAAGCATTCAACCTTGGAAAGTTCTGTCTCCCCTTATGTGGAAGGTGGGGAGAAAGGACTGCATGCCCTTCACTGTTGGTTTGTTTTTAAAGTTTCTGTAGGTATTTCCCGAAAACCAGGTGGCAAGTCCACCTTTTGCACTGGTGCTGACCTGCATGTGCCCTGCTCACCTTTGATGTACTCGCAGTTGTATGTGCTTTGCTTGCCCAGGGCCCGGAGGTAGATGCGGGCGGGGCCCCAGGAGGGTCTGCTGGAGTTGATCACCTGGAAGGTCTCAAAGGGGGGAATCAGCACCTCCTCCTCCCCAGGGAAGAAGGAGTAGCCCTTGATAGAGGCCCCGAGACAGGTCCAGATGCCGAAGAAAGTTTCCTCACCAAACTGCTGGGCTGCAACATTCCGCAGGGACGCGGAGGCAAAGCCCCCTAGCCGGACAGTGGCACCAGGGCCTGCTGGCCGGAAGCGCAGGCCATGCACGCCTCGGAACACCTGGTGGCACTGGGGAGATCGCCGGGCCTTGCTCAGCAGCTGCAGGGCCTCGGTCAGCAGGA